GACCTCTCCCCCTCGACCAATCTGGCTAGGGAGGCCCTACCAGTAGCTACGATGCTCAGTATCTGCTGTCACCAAATTATAATATTGTAAGGTTAGCGTAAAGATTTTGATGAAGACATGTCTTCGATCCGATACATGTTTTCAGACATTTTCATTTGCCTATTGGTTAAAACACGCATACACTGTTTTGGAAGTTGGCTCTGCTGTCAATATTAGGTGAAATCACATTGGACGATGGTTACGAGTAACAAATTGATGTATTTTCTTTACTAAAATAATCCAGAATTGTTGTAACATTTCCAGTCATGTTCTAGAAGCATTACTAATTTTCTGCGTGTGAAATTGTTGTGTCATCTTTTTATCATCAGGTTAGGACGCCCGGCCACAACCACCTTGAGGCCACGGTCTGGGAAGGAGTACCAGCTGATCGATCGCTCCATCCTGGAAGGCGACATGAAGGTAAACTAGTACGTAAGTTGTGTGCTTCTGTAATAACAGTCACACTCTTGTGTTATTTGTTTGAACACTGTCGTTTGGATAGGCAACAAGTCAAAGGGATCCTGATGGTCTGGTGGTAGGTCCAGCCTCTTTAATATTATACCCCTTCAAGGCAAGTTTTAGAAATTACTTCCATTGCGATAGTGAACTATTGTCTCAGATCTATAGACACCAGCCTCCAACTGATGTTATACCCTCCGCTTCAAACTGTAACTGCAGCAAGACATGTTTGGGTGCAGGGTCCCCTGGGCGGTGATAAAGCTCCGCACCAGTTGAGAGCTCTCGTCTCCCAGTATGCCAACATCACGCCTGTGCCAGAGAAGTCGGAGTCACCATCCCCCGGTTACATGAGCAGTTCTCCGGGTCAAGAGAGGGAAGGCCAACCCCTCATTCCACACCCATATATATGAATGAGATTGGGTGGAACTCGGACCTATAGCTCAGTGCCGTTTGTAACATGCTGAGACAGGGAGCGATAGTGTATCAGCTGTGGACATTATTTGACTGCCGTGGCTTTCTTTGTCGATCTGTTTTGTTATGTTATAAGAGGAAAGCTGCAGTCTCCGACATCTGTCGTATTTAGATTTGAGGTTTTTAACCATGGTTAAGATGTTGATGTGGTCTTCTGAGTTGTGGCACCAAATAGTCTTGTATGTGGTTACCAGTGTTTTGTAGGAACATATCACATCTGTCTTAAACTTTAACCTGGAGGACCTCCGAAATGTTGATTAACACCCACAGGACTTTTCACTGACACAGTCGAGAAGTCAACAGTTGATACCTGTTGCAATTAGTCATGATAATTGCAAGCTTTTTGGTCTGAGCTTGAATTCTGATTGTTCAGGAGCGGTAAGCTTTCTTACAGACTGAGGACATTACGTTTCTAGAGTGTAGTACGTCTTAGGCGAGGAATTATATTGAACAGTGCCAGCAGTAATGGTTAATTTATGTATTGAATATTGTACTTCAAATAGGTTTAGTAGTGTGAATTTCAAACTTTTTTTTTCTGTAAATGAATACAAATTATTAAACCAGCGTACAGGCTGTTTTAATGAGTAACCTAAGGTGCAGGTTTTTCAGGTTAGGTTAGGAGAAAATATAACAGAACTATTATGCTCATTCGGTATCAACAAGGTATTTCAAAATATCCTGAATCTGAGCTTAAAAAAACGTTGTCTTAATGTTGACTCTAACTTCTCTCCTACTTTTCCTCCCTTCACCCTAACATGTGCATAATATTTTGATATACAGTTTCAGATGTGAGTAGCGAGCAGTTTGTACCTAATTACCCATCATATCCTCTTGTATATGAGCTGTAAGGATTGGCTTTTGATTTCTCTCTTTTTTGGGTTCCATATGGGGAACTTTTTTCTACTCTAATAACCCCAGACTGATGTTTTCTTGTTGGAATTAGTATTTTATCAATCTAATGAACTGTACTGTATTTTCTACTACCAAAATTAATGGCAAGAGAAATCTGTCAGTATGTATGAATGTATGATAGGGTTTGTATAATCCAGTGTTGTGCTAGTCATGTGTTTGATTGTTAGGTTTGTGGTAGGAATAAAAGAAGTTCGTATTTGTGTCTATTCATATTATAAGAATTAATAATAATAATACCAATAGCATTCATGTTTTTGAATAACTGTTAATAAGCTTATTTAAAAAACATGAAGAAGGTTCTAAAGATAAAACCTGTGAATCAGGTTGTTATCCCTAAGTGTTTTCATAGTTCCTCAACAATTTATGGGATACCTGACTGAAACAGTAATACACACAGCAACGAAGATAAAACTCCAGGGCATCCTGTGCCAAGATACCATAACCTCAATTCCTATTGGCAGTGTAACCCTCTGCTGCAATTAATGTGTGTCTAATTCCCCTGAAGCACAAAGAAACCTGCCAACCAACTAGAATATATGGATTTGTACCTGCTAATTAAAAGTTATTAGATAGCTACATTACTAATTGGAGTTCTTATGTTAAGAAACGTAACCATTTACATTATTTGTTTTTTGTGCCATACATCTGTATAAAATGAAACATCAAAACAGTAACTCAGCACAGAGCTGTTTCCATATGTAAAAATACTTAGAATTAAAAGGGTGAATGTTAAAGAGTCTTTTGTCTAGTCAAAGAATTATATTGTTTTTTTATCAAAGTTTTGTTATTTTATAATTGAAAAGGAATCGTCAGCAATTCTTTTATTTTCAAATTATGTTATTCAAGATGATATATTTATTTAAGATAAACGCAGTAATACCTATCTACAAATTGTGCACATTAATGCATTTTAATTCCATTTAATTTTAATTAAAAATAATTTGTAAGTGCTTGAAATATTTATGAATATTTTATTAGTGCCTGGTTTATTTCAACATTTTAATTAAAAATAATTTGTAAGTGCCAGAAATATTTATGAATATTTTGTAAGTGCCTGGTTTATTTCAAATAGTATGTCATAGATGGCAGGACAAGCACATTATTTTTCAGGTGACATGTTGGCATTAAAGGATATTTTGTGTTGATGTTTCAAACAGTTGGCATTTTCAGAATAAAAAGAATTATGTTTTAAGCTCCATGGGTTTGATTGTATTTTCTGCTGAAGGCTGCATGCATGTTGGTGACAAGAACTTTAATGCATCTTGAAGGTTAGTTTCTAATTTTATTATATTTTTCTTGTGAGTTTCCTGTTAATAGGTTAAAGGCTACAAAGAATGATAATATTATAATTGTGATGTTCAGTTTTAATTGGCTGATATGCTTAAATAAATCTAAGAGCCTGGTATTGAACATTCAGTATGTGAAGCATATGAGATCAGGTTGAATTGATATATTTGCAAACATTGAAAATGTTTTACTTAAATATCATTAAAGCAAAATAATATTTTCATGCAATTATTGGAAGATGATTATCATAGATATATGAATTAAGCAGTATATAAAGTCTTTACATTTACCACTAATGCTTGGAAATAATCTTATGCAAGTAGGTATTCCTAACCTTTAGCACTTAAAAGGAATATTGTTTTTTTGACTTCTGAATGATAGTTAATAAACTTCTTGATGTTTGGATACATCATAATGGCATTATCACTTTCACATGTGAGTTTGTGGGAGTCAATTGAGCTTTGATGGGGTAAAATTTCTGGGGACCAAGTAACTAAATGAAGTAAACTAAACTAGATTAAGGTTGGCAGGTTTCACTGTGCCCTGCTCTTATTTATTATCACATAGCTGAAAAAAAAAGCCGGTGAGCGGGTTCTGTAGCAACTGCAGACAGAAATGATTTGCGAGATTTGAAGTTCTGACAGCAGTGAAAATGTTGATATTGGTCTTCTGAGTTATAATGTCTTGTGAACTTGAAGATATCAATGTTTTGAGCTCTGAAGATTGAAGCAGTATGTTGATTTAAATTGGAAATGGGTTATATTTATTTGAAACATGGCGTAAAGAACAGTTTTATTCGGTAGGATCTCGTTTGATTACTTTTTCTTTTATCCAATTAAAATATAATGTAATATGTTTTTTTTAAAGTAACTTAAGATACTATTATATTATTAAGCATTTCAAAAATTGTCTTTAACAAAATATGAACAAAGAAAATATGGTTTCTTCAGTATTTTCAGTAGTGCATTGGTAACAATGTATTCCACATGTTTTAAAATCCAATAACTGTACTTTCTGTCCAGAGAATATTTATATTTGGCTGTTAGCATAAACAGCAGTTACTTCCCTAAACTTTATTAACCGAGTAATATTTATAATGCAAATGTGGCGCAAGTTCCCTTTAGAAAGAGTTTTTAAATATTATTCAGGTAACCTTCATTAACTTAAAGTATAAAATAGATGTGTTACAGTTGATACCTTAATTATTGTTTGTGGACAACAGAATTGCCTGTTTACAAAATACTTTGTCTGAATTTGCCAGTGGTTTTTATGAGCCCTCACTCCAGACATTTCAAAACCCCACTGAGATGGGACTTTTCTCTTCATCACTGTCCAGAAAAGGTTTCAGGCCCGCTTGATTTCGTGTCTGATAGATACTGAGGCATTGAACGTGTGAAACTTAAATCTTACCTTTACCAATTGATTTTAATCATACGATTTTATACTTTAAATTTTGACAGGTGTATGGAAGTGGAAAGTTTGTAACGTGTCTAGAAGAATATCACTTCTTGGCGACTTTAAATTAAATATATTTTTCTGATCACCAGAAAAGAATTTACAAATTTATCAGAAATTTCAGAAGCATTTTATATTTTAAGGGATGAATTCCGAGGTGAATATTGGTTTATACATAAGTACATGAGAAGTTGCGTTGGAGTGATTTTCTTTCCCCTGAATTTATGCCAGTTGGTGAGATGATGGAAAGAACATATATTTGCACTCGTAACGTGATCTATATTGCAAAGCTGTTTTACCAAATAGTTGCCATTTCTGTCTGCAGTGTGTTGTTGTAAAACACAAATCTCTTCTTGTTCATGTGGTAATGTGCAAGTAAACACAAGGCATCTGTTTACAATTTACATTGATGCCCAGGCAAGAGATGACTGAGGAATGGATGATGTAATTAAATATGATACCCATAACAAACATTATTATTATTACTATGACAATTACTATCTTGATGAAAGTCTGTAAAAAGAGTTAGAAGTTATAGCAAACCATTAAATTATTGGATTTAGAATAAGGTGTCGTCTTTTATTGACATGATCCCCTAACCTCTTTCCTTTTGATTTCATGACCTATGTGGTGTGGCATGAAGAATGCATTTGAACATTGGTGCACTCTAAAGGGTATGTGTGGCATGAAGAATGCATTTGAACATCGGTGCACTCCAAAGGGTACAAATTTCCAATTTTGTTAGTAGTGTAGTAGTAGTAGTAGGTAACTCCATGGAGTACATCCCTTCTTCAGAAGCTAATAGTACATTCAGCTGATCAAATTCCCTTACTACTTTAATGCAACTAAACTGTTTGTTACCAGTTTTACAAGAGTCCACAAATCAGAGACCCTGTGTAAAATTATGTAAGATGCGGATTTGTTAGTCCCCCCCGACCAACCCCTACACTGTTGGATCACATTTTTGTCTCTCCGTGACTGCTTGTTTAGTATATTCGTAGTAATTTTTAAATTAGTAATAACACAACTGGTGGACCTGGGTCAGGTTAGCTTCTGTATTATTGTCGTTTTTATTAAATATTCTGGGAGTTGACAAACAACGTATTTTTGTGCCCGTAGAAGACGCAGGCTTGTACCACCATCGTAATTTGTGGTGGTGGTGCTCCTGGAGTGAGGCCAGTCCGTTGCTTCGCCCGCCACCTGTGAGAAGGCAGGTGAGTGAGAAGCGCATGCTCTCTGTCAGTCTGCTGTTTGTAGTGAGGTGAAGTGGGAGTGCGCGCATTGCTGCAGTGTTTTGTTGACAAGTGAACAGCAGAAGAGGCTCAGGCCGGTTAAACGGTTAACCAGATAATGGTAGTGAATGTTCTAACATTAAAACTAGAATGTGAACTCTATGTGGATTTAAAGATTTCTTAAACAACAAAACGCCTGTTCTTGCAAGTTAAAAAACAACGTTACAGAAAGAATCCGCAAAACTATACAATACGGTAACAAGTTGTCTTAGGTAAGTTAGAGTCATTTGTGTTTCCATTGTAACTAATTAAGATATGAAATTGGTTTATGCAGATAAGACCTGTTTGTTTTATGCCAACGAAACATAATTCAAGTTCATTGACAGGTTTAGTGTGTTGTTAAGCTGAGTGATTATAAACACAGAGCAAACTGACGAATTGGTTATGGGGTTTACGTTATGAAGTATATTACGTTTACTAACTGTTATGAGAAACTCAACTTGGGTTATGGGGTTTATGGGTTGGTGAAAGAGGGGAAAACGGCTGAAAATATATTTATTGTAGCACAGGAATAAATAGTTTGCATGTCGCCGGTAATATTATTTTTAGTGTTAGCTTTCATAATATTGTTAAATTGGCCAGGGCGATGATGGTTGCTGTTGGCAAGTCTGAAATATCGGCCAGTTTCTACGGTCATAGATCCCAGAAGACAGTCGTCTTCACGTTATGTTTTTTCTTAATGCTCGTTTTAACATGTACTTCTGTCTGTGAGTAGGTATTCCAATCTCTTGATAATTACCAATTAGAACGTACGATTTTATCATCTCTAGTGCGTGCTACATGTCGCTCTAATCTCATTCTCCTTTATGTAATCAGCCTAATAATTCAAGTGAAGAGTACAGTTTATCAAGCTCCATGTTATGTAATTTTCTCCATCTCCCAGAAAATTCTTGCCTTAAAATAGGCCAGTTTTTCTTTATTTTCATTAGCAGCTGGTTTATATGCGTTGTGATTGACTAATGCACTACGTCAGAGTTCCTCAAATTTATGCACTAATCGACAAATTAATATATAACTAGTCACTCAGTAAATAACTTAAGTCTTCCCAGTCAGGAATTTACTAAGCAGATTACAATGACTGACTTCCCTTCAGAGTCGCAGTCAGGAATTTACTAAGCAGATTACAGTGACTGACTTCCTTTCAGAGTCGCAACTCTTCTACATAATTTTTAAGAATTCAGTCCGTACCGCGAAGAAAACACAGCACGTCACCATTACGATCAGTCGGTAGTCGATATTTATTCTAAGTTTTATGGCGTTGTTTCCGCTGAACCTTGACAGATCGGCATAATTTAACGACATAATATTTACAAAGATTGTACACTGACGACACGAATGAACGTAAACACGTGACATCAGACAATCGATGGGCTATTAAAACGCTCACGTAACGAGACGTCTGATGAGTGTGTCTCAGCGTGACGTAACTACGTCAGTGGCTGACCGCTGTCAGCTTAAACAGAAGAAGACGTGTTGCGCTGTTGTGTTGTGTAATATGACTCGAGGTCTGAACATCTTATTAGTCATTCAAAATGTTCTGTTCTACGTCACAGTTTAAAATTCTCGGCTCAGATCACGTGTTGACGTGTTTAGGTTCTCGAAATAATTTTTTTTTTAAAATTAAGGTCATAAGAGATTTTGCCAGTGCTCGTAATATAATTAATTGCCAATGTTGATTCAGGTTGATATAAATGAAATTATTTATGTAATTATTGTCAAAAACATTTTATTTAATCTTGTCAGGCAACCAACTGCATAAACCAGAGTCCTCTTGAGAAGGAATCTAGTTAAATTCCTCGTGTTTTAGGGAACTAAAAGTTTCGTTGTCGTATTCACCACAGCCCACCGAAATGAATCCAGTCTTCGCCTCGCACTCTAATTCCTTAAAATTGATTTTAATATTATCCCCGACCAGATTGAAGTTTTTTTTTTTTTCCAATATGAAATTTTATTAAAATCCGTTCTCGAGTTGTTACACGTTGACAGACAGACATACGAGAGGAAAGTAATAGACTCAACCTCAAATCCTAATAGACTTATTTTTGAATCTTGTAGTTGTGGATGGAACGAAAATGGTGTCTCGGTGATTTAAGTTCAGAGTTACGTAATTCCGAACCATACCAGAGGGTAATTAGGTTTATGGATGGCGATTTGGAACTGATCGGATAAGAAGCATTCCAATAAGTTACCCAACGTAAGAATTGTAAAAGTTGGAACAATTGGTTTATTTGTCCTGTGTAAAATAGAGAGGAGAAAAAGATTTTCCTTCCATGGATCTTTCTCTCACTGTCAAAAGGCTGCTATAAATTAACCTGAATTTGCGGATCCGGTAACAGGTTTCTTGTTCAGGCACGCTTATTCTTGTGAAGCCAAGTTGCGTAACCCTTTGTTAATGGCGAACGGTAGTTTTCAGCGAATCGGATGAACAATTCTTGTGAATGAGGAAGTCTGAAGGTTAGGTTACCAACTCGTCTTCCTCTTACATTGATTCTGTTAATTCTATAATTTACGTGCAGAATACGTATTTTCTTTCTTTCTTTTCTTTTCTTTTCTCTCTCTCTCTCTCTCTCTTTTTTTTTTTCGAAAGCAAATCTTAAGGCACATAAACGTATTTCCTTAATCTGAAAATATTATTTTACTGTGACATTTCTTAACTTATAATATGAAGGTATCCAGTTCGAATCTCAGCTTGATTAATGGTTACCTTACCGAAGGTTGAATAAACTGAGACTATGATACATATTTTACTTTTAGAATAATAATAATAATAATAATCTCTACACCATTCCGTGTTTAATCGTAACAAGCAGGCAAAAGTATCTTTTTAGGCATGTCCTTAACCCTGAGTCATATATCCTGCTACAGGATGGGGTATACTAGTAAATTTTCAGTGTTTGCTAAATCTATTTACAAGAATTCCATCACAAAGCAGCTGATGAGCTCATAGGAATATTAATAAATGGATGTTTTGTTGCATGCTTTAAAAGCTTGGAGCCCAGATATTCTGGTAAGATTATTACATATTTATTTATGATAATTTATTATAAAGGTTCGTGTTGGCCGCACATGTAACAAGTGTAAATTTATATTGTTTAAATCTTGTCCGTCTAATCACCATCATTTAATATTTTAAATATTTTAAATGTTAATTATTGTAATATTTTAATATTTAATAAGAATTTATTGTGATTAGACGGACAAGATTTAAACAATATATATTTATTATATCACAATATGACGCAACTTTACCATCTCATAACAAGTGTAAACGAAATGATGATTTCATTCGTCTGGAACATTGGATAAGATCCGATGTCGGATTTTAAATAGACATGTGAATATTTCTTACGTCGAATTAAGTACAATACCCCAAATTATAATATCTTGCAAGGAACAGGCGAGCATTTTGGAAATAATGGTTAAACGGAATATACAATATCTGGGCCTCAAAGCAGTGGACGTTTCTGGGTCTAGTGGTGATTCCATTGGATGATTTTTGTAGGTTTCCGTCCGGTAGAGGGGACAACACGCGTGTGTGTGTGTGTGTGGCTGTATTGTCAGATATCCTGCAAGTGGGATGCTGAGACATGTGTCCTTACGCCACGTAACATTGTGGACTGGTGATTATCACCATGCATCACCACGGCCAACAGCATCAGCAAGGAACGGTGACTGTGACACGGAGCAGTCACTACAGCAACGGATACGCCAAGACGAACGGCCATCTTCCGAGTGAGTCAATGTTTTAACATTTTCGGCGCTGACTTTACATTTTATGAAGTTGTTTTAGTTCTGATCTCCCAAATTGCAGCAACTTGATCCTTTCAAATTTTTCAGACCGAAATTGTAACATTTCTCATCTCAAACTTACACCGATGTTGGTCTTCAATATTTTAACGCTGCCTGTACTTTTAGGTAGATATAAGTGTTTCGGAGAGACATACTGTCTCCGTCTTCGAAACGCTGTTATCTATCCACACGGCCTTAAAACGCAGAAGACTTGAAATCCTTACCGTCGAGAGAACTGGAGATTTTTATTCAAGCTACGTGTTCTTACCTACGTTACCCAAAATACATTCACTTTATATCAAGTAACACGGTAAATTTGAAGTTATGGGATAAAAATATGAAATCAATCATTTCCCTTCGAATTTCATCGGGAAATCTTAAAGGTACAAATTATGATTGTACTCCTGCACCCCTATTTTACGTCTTTTAACTATAAAATCTCATATTCTCCCCCCTCCCATTCCAGTTCAAATGTACTCTGTCCACGTTCTTACCTTGTACAGCGTCTCGCGTACTGAATTTTGTCGAAATTTGTTTGTTCGCCTAATGTACGAGGAAGTACATAAAACACTGTGCTCATGCATATACATGAGGTCCGATCATTAGCAGATACAAACACGCAACCCTTTTAAGACTTGCTTCCTCCTCAAGTCTGATGTTGCGTTTACGAGGATATTTAAAATGCACTGCGACATAAACTTGTTTAACTATTGCCTCCATATAAAACTTTGAGGTAATTAAAGTAAATTGAATTTTAAAGGTACTTGAATGATGTTCTTGAATTGCGTTATACGAAACTCTCGAGGGTCTGGTTGTAGTTCGTCTAAATTGCATTTAAGAATTCAGTCCGTACCGCGAAGAAAACACTACACTTCACCATTACAAAGATCAACTGGTTAACGCTGTTTAAGGAAATAATCGCTGTTTACAGTGAGAATCATAGTTCGTCTAAATTACATTTAAGAATTCAGTCCGTACCGCGAAGAAAACACTACACTTCACCATTACAAAGATCAACTGGTTAACGCTGTTTAAGGAAGTAATCGCTGTTTACGATGAGACTCATACGAAACCCATAGATAACAAAACTAAGAATTAACGATGGTAAATGCAGGAGGTACATATAGTTACCACTCGGTTTTAACGGGTTAACCGTGTCAATACCGAATATAACTCGGCAGTGAAGGCCTGCTGACATTATGGCCCCTCTGTCTACCGCATTAAATTATACTTTAATGACGGTCATGTAACTGTACTTACGCGTAACTTAACAACCAACACACGAAAACAACAAAACACTTGATCATATGACTAGAACAAGTTAGGATATATACGCAATTTTTTAACGTGCGTCACAATTCGACGTTTTACCTTCAAGAATGGGCGAGAACCCTCCCACCCGCCCACTTTGAGAGGCAGAAACGCGCGTAGGTGGTCTTCGGAGGAAATCTGTCAGGCAACGCGACCTGGAGTCACCTGGAGGAGGGAAGGAGGAGGCACAACCCCCACTCATTCTTGACCTCAGCACTAGATGGGGTCAGCGTCACACCCATGCGGAGCTTTAACCCCATGATTTGATGGTTAGCACGACAGAGACGATCATTTTTTTTTTATCGAAAGAATAATAGTCCAGGAAGATGATGTATGAAACTCCCTGTTGTTCAGTTATTTCCCTCCGTTGTGACATCTTCTCCTTTGTACCTTAAAATATCTTCCTCAGGATACCGTCAATCGATAAATCGTAAAGTATGCGTTCCGTCTGTCTCATCTGACCGCGGACATGTGCTTGTCCGCTCTGGACCAAGTCCCTTTCGGCAGAATACAAACAGCTTAGAAGACAGTGGCAATGTCCACGGATATGGAGGATCACCCTGGAATTAGATACCCTCTCGCTGAATGAATTTTGTAATGACAGAAATATTTCCTTACCAGCTCCTGTTCTGCCATAAACATTACAGTTGTTATTACGTGAACTAGCGGTCAACCGTTGGTCTGCGAACCACGATCTGCAAACCATTTCATTGGGGACTCCTGGAATTTTGCAGAAAAACAATGAATTATTTCATGTCCTTGTCGATAGATCTGGCAGAAGTTTAACCTTTGATGGAGCCGTGGTTCAGTCTTTATCAAAGAAGTACCGAGTTCGTATCTGGCGTACGGTGTACTGACACGTGGGTGGAACCACTTAGTGTCTCGTTACGTCATAAATGTCTGAACGTTTTTTTTTTGGTCGCATGTTGTTAATGAGCAATCCACTGTCTGTTGGTTATCAGCTCAATAAATTCACCGCTTAACAATCTACGTTCTTGGAGTCGCGTAGGTGAATTTGCTTGTAAACGCAGTTAAACTTCGATATAACATCTGTGGGCAGAGAAGAAGTTGGGCTATAAATTGATATAAGAGAATGTAAACACTTAAGTTTGAACATATAATCTAACGTCAGCTCATAAAAGTTAGTTGTAATTGTCTGATTCCATAATACAGGGGTTTCTCAGAAAAGTGCATAGTTATTCGAGAATTTTTGTTTTGTTTATTAGCAATGAGGTTCATTAACGTGTTCACAAAATCCTATATTGTACGTAGAACCACTTTAATTCACTAAACACCCTTCCAAGTCTCGTGTAATTTGTGACACTTCGTAAAATTCATTTTTACATCGAAGGGTTTCTGATCTCACGTCCATCCAAGTAGCCAATAACTCGTTAAAGCATATCGGTAACAATATGTACCACTTAATTTAAAACTCTGCATTTTTACACAGAGTGTATATACGGATTTCTTATCATTTTCAGTGTAAACAGCGATTATTTCCTTAAACAGCGTTAACCAGTTGATCTCTGTAATGGTGAAGTGCTGTGTTTTCTTCGCGGTACGGACTGAATTTGTAAATAGTATTTAGACGAGCTTCGTGCTTCAAAGGGTTAACTGCTTATTCTCAGCTATGGTTTTTAACCTACGCAGTTGATAAAAAGTTGTCAAATAACCAAAGAGCAAACGTCTATGGTAGGTTACTAAATGCAGTGTAACAAACAGTCGTTGGCTAAACTGACGTCCCACGACTCGTAGCAGAATTCTTGGTAATTCCAACTGAAAGTTGTTTTGTTCTCCCAAACTCAGAAACTTAGAATTTCTTCCGTGATTTAAACTTGTTCTTGAAACGCACTTCGTCACTAATCGTACAATTCACGTTGCATGGGTCTTCCTTAAACTGTCGAGAATTTGCTTATCTCGTCAATAAACTTGATGACTGTAATCGTGTTCACAAAACGACACAGTTGGTCCGTATATATCGTACACCAGCTGTATACTTTACCTCATTTTTGTAAGACCCATTTTAATATTATCCTCATATCTTCTCGTGATGCATTAACATTCTCCAAAGCCCAATGGTAACTCTTTGTAACACATGCTTCAAAAATTAGTAACACTTCATTTTGTATTTATGACTCTCGTATGATTTTCAGTGCAAACAGCGAGTAATTCCTTAAACAGCGTTAACCAGTTGATCTTCGTAACGGTGGAGAGTTGTGTTTTCTTCGCGGTACGGACTGAATTCTTAAATCGAAGTGTATCTCACTTCTCCCCTCCCCACCAATTTCCTCTTTGTAAAGTCTACTCTTATTCTATCTCTATCTCTCTCTCTTTTCGGCGTCAAGGTTTAAAAAGTTGATGAAATATTTGTATTTTTATATTTTTTATATTTTTACGTGTATCAAATGATAATGTAAAAGTTCGTGAATTTTAGGCAAGAGCAACATGATTATTAATATTTTTTGCGTATTTGTAAACACGTTCAATCGGTGTAAACAGTGTTCTTTCCACACACCCATTTATCACTATTGAACACCCTGTATAGCACTTCGAATCCGTTCCATTGCGTGGAAGATATCTGCAGAAAAATGCGGGATTCTTGGTCTTGTTGGAGACTGATCACGAGTTTTATTGGAGATACGGTTTACATGCATTTGATGGCCACAGACCGATAAAACGCATTCCACGGCGGACTGTCTGACGAGATGCGTGACCACACTTCGGTGTACTCTCGCCTTGACCGCGTTACTGCTCACTGAGGCCCCCTTGCTGTAAGGACAAAGCTATCGATGCCAGCAAATCTTCAGTTCTCACATGTCATGAGTATAAACAGTCACTGATAAGAAGAAAAAAAGAAGATGGCTGTCTTCTGCGATGTTGACCGGTGTTTCGGAGGTGGTTACTGCCTCCATCATCAGGGCGACTAAGTTTCTTGCACTGATGATGGAGGCAACAAGGACCTTAACATCTACCAGAATTTAAAAACGATGCCTAGGAGAATATTTGGATCTTGAAGCTGGAAAGAATGGTATAATGAAGAGATAAGTAGTTTTTATTCGTCGCCAGATAAAATGGGGGATAAGCTAGGCATGAATCTGGAAAATTAGAAATGCGTCCACAAGTTCGGTTGGAAATTCTGACGGGAAGATGTCACTGAGAAGACCAAAGCGTAGATGTGATGACAATATGAAAATGGATCTTGAGGAAAAAGTGTTAGGAGTTCATCGTATGTATCATCCTGTCACGTAATACATGCACGCCATTTTAGTGTTTTCGCTGACCTCCAAAGTGCGGTGTGCGCAGACGCTGTCCAGATACCTTCATCGTGACTTGCATTCGTTAGGGAACCTCTTCTAGGTTCTTCGTTGTCCTGTATTATGTATTAACCCTTTGAAGCCGAAGATCGTCTGAATATTATTTATGAATTCAGTCCGTACCGCGAAGAAAACACTACACCTCACCATTACGAAAATCAGCTGGTTAACCCTTTGAAGTCGAAGCTCGTCTTCATAATATTTACGAATCCAGACCGTACCGCGAAGAAAACACTTCACTTAACCATTAGAAGTCGAATCAGGCGGTACCACATAAGATTTAACAAAAGAACATCCCGGTCGAAGCCTTAAAATTTA